TTGCTTGTAAAGCGGGGAGAATGGCGCTAGGCTTACCGCACCGTGACGTCACTGCAGGAAGATGGCAGGCGGGAGGGGTTACTATATTTGGGCAAAAATGGCCGCTCCCAGACTGGGTGATCGCCAATGAAATGTTTTTTTTTTTTTTTTTTTTTTGTGATGAACGCTAAATTCATTAGATCACAGCAAATGTTTTAGTTTTAGGTATATTTAAAATCACCATCAGTATTAATCTCATGTTTCCGCACAAACATTTTATTTTCCTCATAGATCTTTGTAATGGATCTGGGATAATTAAAATCATACAACTGGTTTGTTCTCTGCCTCCAAACTCAGCAACTTCATCCATGCCTGCGATATGAAGTGTTTTTTGAAGTTGTCAGATGCGTTCTTGGAAGTTGTGACTGGATTTGATTAAACTTTTAAGCCTCTCGGTATAAAATAAATATTTTGATGGAGATGAGAAATCTGCTTCCTGGTCTGTTGAAGTACCGATAGTTTGCTTCTAATCATTTAATTAAACGGTCTTAGTTTTGGGGAATATATAAGAATTATGCTCTAATCTGTTGTTGCCGATCTGTCATTACCATATTTTAATATAACTAACTGGATCTTTTTGTCCTTCTTTTTCCTGTTTGGTGTGATTGGAATTGCGGATCTTGACCTGGCTGGACTGATGCGGAGTAAAAAGTAGCTCAGATCATTATTTTGAGGGTGAAGGAAGGAGCAGATTTACGTGGATGATGACTTTCAAAGCAGTAAAGGTGGATGTGGAACAGCTCTGATTAACGTGACTGATCAAGTGCTCCGCACGACATACATGAATGAGGTGGAGAGGAAGATGAGCAAACTGGGGGTAACATGATCATCTCTGGCTGACAGTGAGCTTCTACTGATGATCTGAAAGGTTCCAGCAGAACCAGAACAGAAGGACTCTGGTAAACAGACTGAGCTACAGAGGAACCACTGAGGGAGCAGCTTACATCAGCAACAGTCATCCTGTTTAAACCGTCCTCTTCAGATGAGATGTAGATCAGGTCCTTCTCCTCCTTCACGGCGGCGGTGCCGGTCTGGTCCGCTGTCAGAACACGAAACAGAACAGGGTCAGGGGCATGGGATCACTGAGGAGACCTTCAAGTCAACATGTTAATACGTTGTTTCCGCTCCGGCCAGCCATCCACACAGCTGCTGTTCCTCAGGTTTAACAGTCAGAGGGACGTATAAAGATCTACTGACCTCTGATAAGAGAAACCGGCTACCTGGTCTGAGTCCCTACCAGCCGAAATAGACCAGAATAGACTGGATCAGATTGAGGGCTTCAGTTAATCTGCATTTTTTTTTTTTATTGCTTTCTTCCCTACGGTTGTCAAACAAGTCAGAACTCCAAGCCCTAGCAAGGATCCAGGCAGAATTATCAGCATTGAAGTACTATGGGTTTCACTGAAACATGGCTGCAGGATCATATCTCAGACTCCAGTGTCTCTCTGCCTCTTCAAGACCGTACGAGCACACAGAGTATGACAGAAGGGTGGAAAACTCAAAGGAGGTGGGTTGGCAGTGCTTGAGAACAATGAGCCCAACCAACAAAGGATTTTGAAGACCGATATCGATATTTGGGCCTTTAGAAAAACCATATCCAAAGTATATCGGCCAAAACTTTTAAACAAAACTGGCCATGGACATATTAGGGATGTTCTTTCCAACGATAGTCCAACTGAAATCATCATAATACCCAAAAATTTCAAGACAAAGACACAAAACATTGGGTTACTTAACGTAATCCCTGGTTCTTTGATAACAGAGTGAGGTGTTTCACTATGGAAATCGCTTCTGCGTGACCAACTACGGAAGCTCCAATGACATCACATCTGTCTGTGACAGACAGGTTGAGCCATGGCCGGGGCTCCACCTACGGCAAACCTACCAGGTTCAATTCATGCTAGGCAGGTTTCTTTCCGTGCCCATGCCCTCGCTCTGTTATCAAAGAACCAGGGATTACAATAAGCAACTCAACATTCTCTTTCTAACTTCACTCTGTGTTTCACCCTTGAAGACATGGCCCACTCCCGGATTGCATGCTGACCCCGAAGCCATGCATGATTGGAATCCCAATCCAGGGCCTTAGATGGACTCTGACATCACTACTTCAAGCACTATGTGCGCAAGCGATGGCTGAGCCATATCCAGCCTCTAAAACCTCACAAATGTGGTGGTGTAGCCCAACTGGCTAAAGCACAGATGTCCTGAACTGACACAACATAGAACAAAGCCCAAGAGGTGGCAATGCTCTTGGTAGAATGGGACTTCGCCCATTTAGGGGGCTCAGAGCCTGCACACCTATATGCCAGAGATATAGCTTCCCCATTCTAGTGTGCTAACCCTTGGCAGGAGACCGGTTTGCCCTTATGAGCGGTACCCCAAGACACAAACAGATGGAAGCTCTTCTAAAACAGGTTGTCCTGTCCACACATAAGCTCTTAAAGCTATCACTGGACTTAAGTGATGAAGCTTCTGCCCTCCTGCTAAAGAGAATGGGGGAAGATGGAATGCCAGCAATTCCACCATCGAACACCTGTATGATTATTGCAAAACCTTTGGCACAAAAGCAGAATTGGGTCTCAAGCACAACTTGGAGAGCCCACTGTAAACCGGCCGGGATGGCTAAAAATGCATGCAACTCACTTACTCTCTTAGCTGTGGCAACGCTAGGAGCAGGGTAGTTTTAAATTAAAGAAACTTTAAGGCAACGACCTCCAAAGTTTCAAAGGGATGATGGCAAAGAGCGTCCAGCATCAGAGTGAGATCCCATAATGGCACCAGAGGCTTAGGAACTACCAACTTAGGTTGAACCCCTCTCATGAAAGGACACACTAAGGGGTGCTTCCCCACAGGTTTATTACCAAACCCTACATGACAAGCAGAGATTGCAGCTAAATAAACCTTAATTGTTGAAAAGGCCTTACCCTTGTCAAACAAGCTTTGCAAAAAGCAGAGCACATCTACCACTGAACACTGAAAAGTAATGACCTGCCTTCCCCTCACTATTCCCCAAAAACCTGCCATTTACTACTGTAAAAGGAGCGTGTAGGAGAAGCCCTAGCATTTTGTATGGTGTGGATGGGCTCTGGATGGAAACCTGTGGCATATAAATTCCACTTTTCATGGGTCAAGCCCAGACAGCTAGGTGATCTGGGTGTGGATGATAATTCTCCCCTTGAACCTGAGACAGCACGTCCCTACAAAAGGAGAGAGCCCATGGCTCAGCTGACAGAACTTGGATTATCTTTACCACCCAGGGACTCAATGGGCACAACCAGTCCACCAGAATCAAAGACATGCCCTGTTCCCTCACTCTAGTCAGAGTGAGGGAACAGGGCATGTCTTTGACTAGAGATGTCAGCTTGCCTAGCATTCGCAGGAAGATGAAGTCGGGAAACTGCCTGACCAGCCTTAATCGACTGACAAGCTGAAATATGTTATCCACCCTGTGAACAGCTGGACCGGCCCTCAAGGCAGTGGAGTACAAAAGCATCCCAAGAAAGGCGTTGTCTGAGATGGAACAAGACAACTGTCTCAGAACTGGAGCCTGTAGCCATGAGTTAAGGTGGCAACCAGCCATGGATCTACAGCATGAGCAGCCCAGAAATTTAGCTGCTGAATGGAAAATTGTCCAAATACTGGGATGGTGGTATCTTCTATCCCCCGGGCCCCAAACAGCTCCCCTGGAATAACCGGGAGTCTCCTACGGCATGCTTCGGTCATAGAAGACTGTGCAACCAAGACCAGTCTACAAGCTTGGAAGGACATGACACTGCCAAGCTCTCTGGTCGTTGGCGCAAAGGCCTGCAGCGCTGCGTCACTAAAACCAATGGCCGCAGTTTCACCACCAGCGCCCTGAACAGATGCAGAGAGGGCAAACACGTGAACCACCAGGGAGTTGCCAAGGTGGTCAGCACGTGCTCCTGCATTGTCCACCTTACACAGGATGTCATCTGTCATCTGTAAATGTCATGCCCCATGTCCATCCAGTCATCCTGGTTACATCAATTTCCTGGTGAAGGTTATTCAGGGTTCCTAGAGCATAAGAAGGCTCGGACTGGTAATCTGTCATATTAGGCATTTGCCCGGTGGGTCGGTCCTAATTTCAGCCTGTGAGGGCCGGCCCTCCTTAGATCATACCGGCACCAACACTTACACTCCGGGCGAAGCACCTACCTGTGACAGTAAATAACTGAAGAAGCTCAAGAAGTAATAAAATGTTAACTACCTAAATGATGCATGCAGTATATACAACCCTTCCTAGTCATGCACATCCTTGTGACGGTTGGCATATGGTGTCATTTTCTATTTCTTCAAACTGTAAAATCCTTGTAACAAACTAAATTATAATAAAACTAAAATCCTTTCTTTAAACCAAACTACGATGTTCCTCTTATGTTTGGCGAATTTATGTTAGAATATGTTGCAAAAATATGTTGCAGTGCATGATGGGGTTTTGCAACTGTTTACATTATTCTGTTTCATTGCCCACATGCCACCTGGACCTGCAGTGAACGCTGACACACTGCTGAGCTTTCATGTATTCCTTCTTGAAGAACTGCCAGTCTGCCTCTATTTTGTATTGTTTTATGTTGGTGTTTTCACAACACTTGGCCTTATTTACCGGTAGTAGACATAGTATGTGTGTGTGTGTGTG